CAGCCAGGATCGTTCCTCCCATCCCCACTCGAGACAGGTCTCGCCCGTGAGTGCCCAGGAACGGCGGTGGCGCACGCACCCCATCCCGCCCACCTCCACCCCGAGATCCGATGGCCGGCCTGCCTCCACCGCGAGCTCCAGCGGCCAGGCGCAGGTAGCCTAGCCGACCACCTCCACCCCGAGCTCCTGCAGCCGGTGCCACCCTCCTGCCTCGCCTCCACCCCGAGCTCCGACGGCTGGCGTGCCTCCACGCCGAGCACCAGCGGCCGACGCCACCCTCCCGCCCCGCTTCCACACCGAGATTCGGCGGCCAGCGTGCATCCACCCCGAGCTTCAGCAGCCAGGCGCAGGTAGCCCATCTCGCCCACCTCCACCCCAAAGCTCCAGCAGCCGGCGCTACCCCCCAGCCCCGCCTCCATCCCAATCTCCGGCGGCCAGCATGTCTCCACTCAATTTCTCACTTTGATCATCCAAACAACATTTGGCATTCAACCTCAATATCAAGTATGTCTTCTGAATACCTAACCATCCAAACAAAAATATTGGCATTCAATCTCAATATGAATATACTCTGATATTGGTATTCAACCCAATGCAATGCCAAGGCTCCCAATGCAAACATCCAAACAGAGCATTATGGTGCTTTGGCAGGCGTGGCACATCCGTAACGAGGTGGTTCATCATAAACCGCCGCCGCCCATGGAGGCCTCTAAGCGTTTCTTGGTGAGCTATCTTGATTCAATCATTGGCATTAAGGTGGACCTTTCCTCTGAAACAAGTAAGGGAAAATCAGTTGTATCATGTGATAATTTTGCTGCCAGGCCACATGCGATAATAAAAGAAAATTGTCCTAAGTGGAGTGCTCCCAAATCTGGATGGGTCAAGCTATCCACGGATGGGTCATATGGTGATGACGGCTCAACAGGTTCTGGTATGGTACTTCGAGATGACAAAGGTGCGATCATATTTTCTTCATGAAGGAAACTATTTTCATGTCGGGATTCTCTCGAAGAGGAGTTGAGTGCTTTTATGGAAGGACTGTCGTTCGCAGTACAGAGAAGTGACCTTCTAGTGGAGATAGAAATGAATTCAATCGTTGCTTTCAAGTTGATAGATCGGTCTACTCGTCGCTTATTATGGAGATTAGACACCTTATGTCTCTTCGTGATTCTTGTATTACTCATGTTGATCGTAGCCAAAATAAAGTTAGTGATAGCATAGCCAAATTTGCTCGTGTAGGAGGCAGAACCATGACTTGGATTGGTTCGGGTCCTTCGGATGCTATGGAGCTAGCTATGATTGATTGTATGAACTACTTAAGTTGAGTAATACATTATTTCACTCGCAAAAAAAATTAAGATGTTGTATCATCACAGTTTTAAAAGAAAGAGGACGGTGGAGATTGGATCAAAATTTCGATTCACGCTATACGGAAAAAGAAAAGAAAAGAAAACATTCATGCTGCAGCTCCATGTATACGCATGTGGTGTGGGAACCCATTCACGGCCCGCTTCCGAGGGCATCGGCATGTCGTTATTATGCACAACATGGCGTTGCATGCATCCGGCTGAAACAAGGAGCTATCAAAATTACGGCCCAACAATCACTCCTCACCGCAGGTTCTCCGTCCCCCGGCATGCAGTACATCGAACGATCGCTACGTCACCGTCGACCGTGAAGCCGCCGCCGTCGGGCCGTCGCCGGGGTTGGAGTTGGCAGAACGGCCGGCCGAGGACGGGAAACGATCGATGACGACGCAGCCGGCGGTGGGCGACCCCCTGTTGGACCTATGGGAGCACCTGATGTCGCCGAACAGGACGCACCTCTCCTGCTTCTACCCGAGCAAGATCACCATGAGCGGCATCTGGACCGGCGACAACCCTCTCGACTTCTCCCTCCCGCTCATCCTCTTCCAGATGCTCCTCATCACCTCCACCACCCGCGCCGCCACCCTCCTCCTCTCCCCGCTCGGCCTCCCCCGCTACATCTCGGAGATACTCGTACGCCGGCCCGTCTCCATGATCACCGCGTGCATGCACGCGTCCATCATCCATGGCGACGACGACGGCTGACTGTTTGCCATGCATCAATGCGTGCAGGGCGGCTTCGTTCTCGGGCCCTCGGTGCTCGGCCGGCTCCCGCACTATACCGACATCGTCTTCCCCCCGCGCAGCATCTTCATCCTCGACTCCATGGCCCTCCTCGGCCTCGTCTACTACAGCTTCACCATCGGCGTCGAGATCGAGGTCCCCACCATCACCCGCGCCGGCTTCCGCAGCTTCTGGTTCGCCGGCGCGTCGGCGCTCCTGCCTTTCCTTATCGGCGCCACCACCGGCTACGTCGCCCTCGGCACTGACGATTCCCGTCAGAATGCTGGCTTCGTCGACAGACTCTCCTTTCCCATCTTCCTCGGGTCCACCTTCGCCTCCACCGCCTTCTCCGTGCTGGCCCGCAACATCGCCGAGCTCAAGCTCGCCGGCACCGACGTCGGCCAGATCACGCTCTCCACCGCCCTCATCAACGACACTATCGCGTGGACTGGGCTCACCGTCGCCACGGCGCTCTTGTACGCGGAGGACAGTGGGTTGCTCTCGTCCGTGTGGACGCTCCTGTCGGGGCTTGTCATCTTCGGCGCGAGTGTCCTCCTGGTCCGGCCCGCGCTCGTGCGGCTGGCGCAACGCGCAACCACCGAGGGGGAGGTCATCGGTGAGGAGCGCGAGTGCGCCGTGCTTGTCGGCGTCATGGTGGCAGCTCTCGTGGCGGACGCCGGGGGCACACACGTCATCTTCGGGGCCTTCGTGTTTGGGCTCGCCGTGCCCAACGGGCCCGTCGGCGTGGAGCTGGTGGAGAAGGTGGAGGACTACGTGGTGGGGACGCTACTCCCGCTCTTCTTCGCCATGTCCGGCCTCCGCACGGACACCTCCAAAGTTACCAGCATGGAGGCCGCCGTGCTGCTGATGGTTGCCACCTTTGCCGCGGCGGTGTTGAAGGTGGTCGCTTGCATCGGTGTGGCCGCGGGGTTCGGCATGCCGCTGCACGACGGCACGTCCATTGGGCTGCTGCTCAACACCAAGGGGGTCATTGAGCTCGTCATCCTCAACATTGCAAGAAACAAAAAGGTTTCAATTAAGTCGATTAATTCTACCATAGTGTATTGTTGGACAATCATCAATTTGTTGCTCATTCGTGCGTGCATGTCTTTCTCTGCTGCTTGCAGATCATGAGCGACCAGTCGTTCACGGTGCTGGTGTTCATGTCGGCGCTGATCACGGCGCTGGTGAGCCCGTCGCTGACCATGGTTGTCAAGCCGGCACGCCGCCTCGTCTTCTACAAGCGGCGCACCGTGGCGTGGACGCAGCCGGACGCCGAGCTCCGCGTGCTGGCCTGCGTGCACGTGCCCCGCGACGCCCCCGCGGCCATCACGCTCGTCGACGTCCTGTGGCCCTCGCGGCGCTCACCCATCGCCGTGCACGCCCTTCACCTCATCGAGTTTGCCGGTCGCGCCTCGGCCCTCCTCTTGATCAACGCCGCTGCCCCGGCCGCCTCTTCCTCCGAGTTCTCGGACCAGGGCCGGAGCCACGTGGAGATGCAGTTCAAGCACATCGCCCACGCCTTCATGGCTTACGTGGAGAACCACGCGCCAGGCGGCGTCATGGCGCGCACCATGGCCGCCGTGTCGCCGTACACGTCCATGCACGAGGACATCACCGCCGCCGCCGAGGACCAGCACTCGGCGCTCATCGTGCTCCCGTTCCACAAGCACCGGTCGGTGGACGGCGGCATGGAGGTGTCCCACCCGGCCATCCAGTCGCTGAACGCCAGCGTGCAGTCCTGCTCGCCGTGCACGGTGGCCATCCTCGTCGACCGAAGCCTCGGCAGCGGCGGCACCGCGCCGGGTGGAGCCGGCGCGTACCGCGTGGCGGCGCTCTTCTTCGGCGGGCGCGACGACCGCGAGGTGGTGGCCCTGGCCACCCGCATGGCGCGCAACCCGGCCGTCGGCCTCACCGTGATCCGCTTCGTCCAGAAGGGCAGGGCCGGCAGCATGACGTCGAGCGAGTTCGACGCCCTCAAGGAGCGCAAGGCCGACGATGGGTGCATGCGGGAGTTCTTGGACCGGGCCAACGCCGGCGGCGGGGGCGTGGAGTACTGCGAGAGGGGGGTGTTCAACGCGAGCGAGATGGTGGCGGAGATACGGAACGTGGAGGCGGCCGGGAAGGACCTTTTCTTGGTGAGCAGGACGCCGGGGGCGACGGGGCTGACGGCGGGGATGTCGGACTGGAGCGAGTGCCCGGAGCTGGGGCCGATCGGGGACCTGCTTGTGTCCAAGGACTTCCAGACCAAGGCGTCCGTGCTGGTGGTGCAGTCCTATGGGAGGGCGGCGGCGGCGGCGGCCGCGTCGACGTCTTCTGAATTTGCTGTTGGCGAGGCCGTCTTGCCGGCGCCAGAGGCCATCATGCCGGCGACCTCCATGGGGCACCCGCCAAGGCGCCCACGACAACATTCACATTCTGACCTTATGCTTTGATAGTAGTATAGTTTGGTAAAGCTTGCTAGCACATTGATTAATTAATTAATTAATTAGGGAGCGCCTAATTTTTGCAGGGGAATTAGGAAGTGTCTGATGATCAGTCGAGTGATGTTAATTTGGGTGACAGTCAAACATTTAATCTAGTCAGAAGCGTACACGTCTATTAGCTAGCTTTGTTAACAGCGATTTCTTCATACTCCCAACGGAAACTTTGATTCACATACGTATAACACATGCAGACATGCTATCGAAGTATGAAAACGCTTCCCTATTAGCAATGTATAACACTGAAGAAATACAGAGGACACAGGAAATCATTGACCTTGCCAACATCGCCAACAGTACTGAACGGATGATCGATGTATACCCTCGCATAGAAAATGTGAGCATCCTTGATGAACCTAAGGTCTGTGCAACATCCCGGGCATAGTTCAAGCGAAGGTAACAAAGTAGGCTTGAAGCTGAAAGTATACTAAATGAGTCTGGGACCCTGCATAGTCCTACCACGGGAATTCAAGAACTCTGCAAACTTGGCGTCCCTACCGGCATCAAAATAGATGCAATCCTCCTCACATATGTCTACAGCAGAATCAATTATAAACTCGCCATCACTGATAGAATCTTCAGTGGTCGTGCTACTGCGGTCACCGCGAGCCATACGCTCAAAGTCGGTGTCACGCCCAATATACTTCTCTAGATCTGGATGTACAATCTTTGCACCTTCTCTCTCACAGTAATAACAACGGCCTTTTTCCACAAAAAGAAGAAAAGCAATCATCAGTTCAAGCAACAAGAAAATATCTGTGTGAATAAAAGATTATCATCACTTCATAGCCTGCATTAAGATAAGAAGAGGTAAATCCCTAACAGCACCATATAGCTAAAGTGCAGACAACCACATGTACACAAGAACACTGGTCAGTGGCATGTATAAAATGTGTTCAAGCCTAGCAATTCGGAGCATGCTCAGAATGTTTCTTGTAATGATGAAGCTCTAAAAGACAAATTTAATCATATGTTGTTCTCAGATACCATCAGTTATCTGTGCCATGTTACATGTGACGATAAATTCAAGGACAGTGGCAATTTGGATGAGTTTGTATAGGTTATGAATTCTACGGACTTCAGTGAAACACTGCCACGGGTGTTTGGACTGCTGGTGGTGTTAGTGCCAGAATGTTATTACTTATTACTCCCTCCGTTCCTAAATATAAGTCTTTTTAGACATTTCAAATGGACTACAACATACGGACGTATGTAGACATATTTTAGAGTGTAGATTCACTCATTTTGTTTCGTATGTAGTCACTTGTTGGAATCTCTAGAAAGACTTATATTTGGGAACAGAGGGAGTAGATCAGTAGTATTTTTATGGCGAGGTCTTTTTTCTCACATTATTGCTGTGACACCATTTAAATAGATGTGCATAAAGTGTTAACAGAAGTTCTATCCAGGTCAGATGCCTTATTATATCCCTTTTTCCCTTCTTTTTTTGATCATAAAAAGGGCCTCCCCCTCCGATTTTCATTAAAGAAAACCATCTGGTTCAGACATCCCTTTTTTCCTTGACGTCATATATTTTTGAGTTAATTGCACAAAAGTACCACAATTCAGGCATCACATGCAGATTGGTACCACGATTGCTAATTTTTGCGTGTCAGTACCAACATTGGTCCAAATTTTTGCAAATTGGACTAAAACGCGTATTTATACGTATTGACGCCCGATCCGACAGGTCGGGCCCACCCGTCAGGTGCCACGCTGGCCAATCGGCGCGTGCCCGCGTGCTGACTAGGACGAGCCGGTGCGCTGCTGTCCTAACCGGCCCGGTCGCACCAGCTCCAGCCCGGCCGCATCATTCCCCTCCCCCTCCTCCTCCTCGCTCGAACCCTAGTCCATGGCGTCGGCGATTCCGCCAGTCGGCGGCGAGGGCGTCCACGGCGGCGGCGAGGGCGTCCACGGCGGCGGCGAGGGCGTCCACGGCGTCGGAGAGATGCCGTTCTGGCCTCCTAGCGGAACGGTTGGCGTCGACGGGGATGGCGGCGACGAGTCCAGCTCCGCGTACTCGACCGACGACGAGGAGTCGATGTTACTCACCATGGAGCAGCGGTTGCGGTTGGCGCATCAGTGGGTGGCGAACCCTAGCAGCAGCCATGAGTTGACGCATGGACTTGGCGGCGTGCTGTAAGTACCCTTGTCCTACTCCTCTGATTCATCCAATTGGGCATTTTTAGGGTTTGTTCATCTTCTGCTTTATCTAGTTGGGGATTAGGTTTTATCCAATTGAAGTGACTAGACTAACCTAGTAACATAGTGTATTGCACTCTCAATTTAGTTCAATTACTGTGGCTCTCCAAATTGTTCTGTACTGTCTGGTACTGTAATTTAAGCTGTTTTGTACTTTACTGTTGCTCTCCAAAAGGTCACATCTGGTTAGCAGAAGACATTGTCAAAAGGATTAAAGGAACATATGTAACAAGCTAATAGCACATGTTTTGATGAACATACGGTGTAGATTATTCAAATGGAGAGAAATCATATATACCAGGATGTCCTGTGACCGGCCAACATGACGGCTCATCAACGGCATCTTCATCATTGGAGCACTCAGCAAAGAAAAGTATAGGAACCGTGTCAGAAGAATGCAAATCTCTCGGCCTTGCCAAGAAGTTGATGTGAGAATGCTGAGTTTTCTTTGGGCGCCAAGAAAGCAAGGGGCCGTAATGGAGGCCCCAAACAAAAGCTTTGCCTACGTTTGAGTTCAAGCCACAGATGACATGAAGCTCATATTCAGGTCCCTATATATGCATATCATGGTGAAGAAAGAATCAGACATGTTACTATTCATAGTTACAATACTGAAAAACTGAAAGAAGCACCAAATAAACATACCCCAGTTCGCTGCGTGTATTTCTTCAGCATGGCATTGACCTTCGTACAGACAAAGCGTTCCTCTTCGTGGAAATCTCTCAGAATGCACGAGAGGAACTTGGATCCCCCCTCTGAAAGCACAGGAACTGTACTCCGGACTGAATCATCGAGAGCGGTACAGTATTCAGACAGCAGCTGCTGGATGCGATCCACATCCAATACGAATGTCTCTCCATCCTCCATGGGTAGAGGCATCATGGGAAAGGATGACATGAAAAACTCTGCAACGGCATCAGGTTCTGGGTGCTGCGCTGCGGTGGCTGCAGCCTTGTAGGCGCTGTACTGACTCAACATAGTTCCCTCGGTGTGTCCCTGTTGCCTTGCCATTTCCATTGCTCCCCAGAGATTGACCTCTGTGAAGAGCAGACAATGCATGGCTTGGTGTTCAGACATCGTGCGAAAGTAAGCGCGGATGTAAGCAACAAGGCCACGAAGGGAGCGGTATGCGACAAGAACAAGGCTGCGTGAGCAGATCATGGTGGCCTGAGAGGGCCCTCCTGCCGGCGGGAACGTCGTGCTGTACCAGAGAGTGTTGAGCACAATGTTGGAGACGGGATCCGTCAATGGCCCGTAGCAGTGGCCAGCCTTGAGGAGGCCCCGGTGGTGGTGCGTGCGCAGGCCGTCCGTCGGCAGCAACGCGAGTGCCTTGAGGTAGAATCCGTAGATCTTGCGGAGCAGGGTGCTCCGCAGAGCTTTTGTAGGAACGAACGGCGGCGGCCTGTTCAGCTCCAGATGGAACTGTGTCGGTGTTACTCCGGCGAGGTCTTCAAGCTTCTGCCGGGGCTTGTTCAGCAATGCGTGGATGCTGTCAATGGCGTTGCAGGAGAGGCAGCCGCCTTCGGTCGCCAGGAGCTGGGACAGTTGCTCCATCCGAGAGGCGAGCGAGTAGGACCTGTTGACGAGGGCCCTGGGCATGGGGTGGCAGGCAGCCAAGGCGGCGCATTTGAGGGCCGTCTTGGTGGTCCGGGACGCGAAGCTGAAGCTGCCGCTGGAGTTGCGGTCCTCCTCGACGAGCCGCACGGCAGAGAGAAGGTCGGCGTTGGCCAGGCAGAGATACTCGAGCGCCTCGCAGGCGGGGAGGCGGGGGAAGTAGCAGGTGAGGAACGCGACGAGCGCCCTGAGCGACCGCTCGGCGATGGGCATGTCGCGGAGGAGGCGGCGGGGCGGCGGCCAGCGCTTGGCCTTCCCGGTGCCGGAGACCGCCCGGGAGAGCGCCTCCCGTCGCCGCTTTCTCGCCTTCTTCTTCTCCTTCTCGCCGTCGTCGGGCGTGGACGACGGCGCCGCGACCGCGGGCTTGCGGCGGCCGTAGGAGGAGACGGTGTTGACGATGATGTTGGAGACGGGGTCGGCGAAGCCGACGCAGAGACCAGCCTTGAGGAGGCGCGGGGCCAGCGCCGGCATCTCGTCCAGCGGCAGCCTGTCCAGCGCCGCCGCGTAGAACCCGTTGATGGTCTCCAGCGCCGCCGATTTGTTGCGGGCGATGCGCTTCGAGCTGTCGCATCTGTAGAGGCGATCGGCGTGGGCACGCTCGCTCCGGCGACGCTTGAGAACCATGGCCAGGAATTTTCGCGGCGCTGTGATTCGGAATTGACGGCCGGGAGGATTGTTAATTTGTTACAGGGGCGGTTGTTTTTCAGGGCGCCGTCGCCGGCGGGTAGGTGGACTGTGGTAATGGATGTCCGGCCGTACCCTAGCCAGACAGAGCGGTTTTTTCATTGGGTGGATTTATCACATTCTCCCTCCGTTTCTTTTACTCCACATATAAAATTTGTTTGAAGTCAAACTACACAAAATTTGAGAAATTATATATTAAAAAATCAAGATCTACAATAATAAAACTATATAGTATGAAAAATAATTTCATGACGCATCTAATAATATTTATTTCATATTATGACTGTTGATATTTTTTAATATAAAGTCAGTCAAATTTTATAAAGTTTGACTTTGATCAAATTTTATACGAAGACTAAAAAAACTGAGTGAGTATCTCACGTGACCGATAGAGCGGTTCTTTTCATAACACTACTGGACGAAATATTCATGTTTTCTTTTTGTGTGGGAAGACTAGACCATAGCCAAGTACGGATGCGAAGAGGCTTTTGCCCCTGACTTCACCAAAGCCTTATAGATACTAGATCACATGTTGTGTCATTGGCGCAGAGATCAGATTCAGCTGGAAGTTCAACAAACTATTTGAGACTAGCCAGGAACTTAAGGAAATTATGAGTAGCATGAATAAATAGAGAACCCTCGTTAAAGGTTCGCTGAGTAAATTATGAGTAGCATGAATAAATAAAGAACCTTCATTAAAGATTCACTCATGAGGAAGAGGGACGAAGAAGACAAGGATGAATGAGGTCGTGATGTGTCGTTTGTCATGCATCTTCACTGCGATCGAGTCATTACATTATAATTTTTTTAGCAATTATTAGCTGGCAATACCGCTTTATTCAGGTTCATAGTATGATTCAAGATATCTAAGCATGAATACGCGACAATTCAGGCTTAGCAAAACCCGCTAGGGCGGAAGTCTTTGATTTAAATCTGATAGAGCACTTTTCTATTAAGGCCATGTTCGGTTCATGGGATTTGCTGGCATTCCAAAGGAAAGTTTGCTTTCGTAGGTTTTCTTTCCTTTTAGCTGTTCGGTTTAAAGGAAAGGTACTCAACATTCCATCGGAAAGGATCCTCAGGCACGCAGATTTTACAAGATTGAACAAATCCACCCTGGCCTCATTTTTTGGCGGAGTCCCGAGGAAGAGCAGAGGAACTGCACCTGTTGGTAGAATATAATGAAGTATTCAATCATGTGGCTGGTCATGAGGTGCAAGAAGAGATCGACAGGTACGGTGCAAATAAAATATTGTATTAGCTACTGTTCATTACTTGGTCTTCATGCGTTCTCTCTAGGCCATCCGAACGCAAGTTCCGCTCTACTTTCCCTTCTTTTCCTGTTCCAAAGTTTTCAACTGTTCATTCAGTCCGATTCCTACACAGTTTTTCTTTCCGATGTTTTCTGTACCTGCACTCCGAACGGAGCCTAATTTGATTCATTTTTCTTCTTTGTTTCTGAAATACGAGCGCGAGATAGATCGGCCTAGGCATGCACGAGGCCGCTGGCCACAACCTTGCTTTTTCTATTTTTTTTCTTTTTTCTTTTTGTTTATTGCTTTTTTTCTTTTGTATACTTTCAAATATTCTAAATACATATGTTACCAAAAAAACTTTGCAGAAGATATTCATAAAATGTTAACCAATCATTTAAAAAATGTTAAATATATATAGAGAAATGTTCTCATGTATATAAAAAATATACAATGCGTAAAAAGAAATTGATCATGTATTTAAAAAATGTTATCAAACATGTAAAAAAATTAATCAACTAATTGAGAAGTGTTAATCAAGCATTTGAAAGAATATTAAATGTGTACATGTATATGAGAATATATAAAAATATAATGTGTACGGAAAAATATTGATTGTGTATCTAAAAAATGTTAAACATGTATGCGAACCAACCTGTGGATGGATGATCATAGAGACTGTGATATGCCGGCTCAGTCTTTCGAAGGTGCTCACAGGGGTAGAGTGTGTGTGTGTGTGTGTGTGCATTTTTAGGGGTGAGTGTATGCGCGTGTATATGAGCGCTTGTGTCTGTACTGATGTTAAAAAAATGTTAAACATATATAAAAAAATTAGTGTATACAAAAAATGTACAACATACATTAAATAAGACATAGAAAACAAAATAATTAAAAACGTTAACTTTTACTAAAAAAATGTTAAACATGTATATGAAAATGTTCTTCATGTATACAGAAAAATATGCATCATGTGTGAAGAAATGTTTATTGTCGTTAAAAAATGTTCATCATGCAATGAAAAATGTTTGCTACGTATTTGAAAAATGTTAAACCTGTATTAAACAAATGCATTTTCAAAAGTAGACATAAAATATGTATTTGATGTATATGAAAAAAAGTTGAATTTGTACCCAGAAAAGTTGACATGAAAACGCGATAAAAACCAACCAAAAAAGAAAGAAAAATAAAGGCATCGAATAAAAACCAGAAAAGAAAACCAATGCAAAAGACTGGAAACAGTGAAAACCGAGAAAGAAACAATGAAAAATAATCGAAGAAAACCATGAAATTAAGAAAGAAAAAGAAAGAAAGAAAGGCACAAAAATAGAGAAAACCAAGGAAGAAACAATGAAAAGAAAAGCTAGTGAACATCGTGAAAGAAATGGAAAAAACCAGTGAAAAAACAAAGAAACCAGCAAAAAGAAAACCAGAGAAGAAACGGAAAAAAAGAAAAGAAAACAAAAATGATAAAAATCAAAATAAGGCAACGAACCCCTGACCAAGCGAGCGCAGAGAAACAAACCCTAATAACAGGCCGGCCCAGTACTGTACAACCAGGGAAATGTTGAAACTGGCTTTTAGTTATACATTACTACCTTCGTCCTGGTTTATTGGGCAGGATGGAGGTAGTACTATGTTTGGCTTTTAGTTTTACTAACCGAATGTGAAGAAAAACCAAATGACATAAACCAAATTTGTTTCTACCGAATGCCGCCCGATTAGCTAAGCCATAGCCCGTGTTGCGAAAGAGAGCTTGGTCACAAACAACAAGTGCAAGCATGTGTCCTATGCCCCTTCATTTCCTGCATCCGTTTCTTTTTAGTCTGTATATAAAATTTGGTTAAAGTTAAACTTTGTTAACTTTGACTAAGTTTATAGAAAAACTATCAAGATTCACAATATGAAATCAATATCGTTAGATGCATCATGAAACTAATTTTTATACCATGTAGCTTTAGTATTGTAGATGTTGATAGTTTTTTCTACAAAGTTGGTCAAATTTTTACAAAGTTTGACTTTGACCAAATCTTATATGCAAACTAAAAAAGAATGAAGGGAGTATGTTACTCTAAACATCTCTCTCTTTATTAACTATATGCCATATAAGCAAAATTTTCTTAAAGTGCACTATGTTACTACCTAAATTACTCCCACTATGACTAGCCTAATGAAGACCAGTGACCCTCCACCGGCCTGATAACAGCAAATGAGAGGCATTTGATACCATCATATTTTACAAACGATGCCCAGCCTCAGCTCGCGCGTTAAAGAGACGCCTGACCGAGCTCTCTGCCCAACCTATTTCTGGTTGCCGTGCAAGCTCCCCGAACAGCCTGTCACTCTCATCTTCCCATGCTCTTACAAGCTGCAGAAAAATGCACGCGCACAGCCGTGAATCAGCAGCCTCATCTTCCCATCTAGGAGAAAAATGCACCTAGTGTCCCCAGCAACCTGCTCAAACAAAAACAAGATAACGAGATTCAGATTAAAGTCTGCAGATTCACATGAAGATTTTTCTCCATAAATAAAAATAAGTGATAGGTGAAAGAAAGAGGCCATACAGACTAAAACACAAGAAAACTAAGATGCAACTAAGCCTATCAAACAACTCACTTGTTTGCATAAGCTTATGTTGGTCACATTCAAAAACTTCAAATGGAAGGACACAACTCACCACAATCTTCATGGCCAACTGCTCACGCTTTCCTTGCCACCTTCAGGAGGATGGACGCAGCAGTACCAAAGAGTCTTCTAGATTGACCATGATTATTTGTTGCTTGTGTAACTCTTCCAGCAGTGAAAGGTTGTGATTTTGACTTGGAGTCCTGTCCATTGAGCTTCCCCGAGGGCAACGAAGTTCTTCATAACCAAGTGCAGACCTAGCTGCGGATGCGTCGGTACCAAAAAGTCTTCTGGATTGACGATTGCTTAACAGTTGTGGAGCTTTTCCCAGCGAGGGAAGCTTATGGCCTGGAACTGGAGTAGGCACAGTAGGTCGACTGGCATCTGCTGTTGCATAGGCTGGATACACCCGCAGAAAAGCCCGGGCCTGTAGCACCGATCTCCAATATGGGAAGAACTTTCTCCTTGTGAATGTGTTATCCCATCCTTTAGGCAGATACTTTTCCGCAGCCTGTCCCACAATGACATAAAGCACAAGCATCAGAAAACCAAAAAAACATCCATATTCAGCATCATCAGCCAACAACACTCGCT